ATATGAAGTTAGAATCAACTAACCGAAAGTTCAATGTTTAAGAGTGATCAAGGTGGAGAATATGCATCGCCGTTTATTTGAGATTTGTGACTACATCTGGAATTATCACTAAACTACGCCTTATTCCTCTAGTCAATGGTGTTGCTAGAGCAAAAAAGTAGGACGTTACAAGAAATGATAATGAATGTTAATAAGCTCTGGTTGCATAGGACTTCGTGGGGGGAAAGCAATTCCTCTCCATGAATTTACATTCTAATAAAATACTACGAAGAAAGTAGAAAGACTCCGTTGATTGTGGAAAGGCCACAATTTCTATAAATTTCCTTACAATGTGGGGGTGTCTTCGCAAATGAGTAGCGGTACCACACCCCAAGCAGATTAGGATAGGTTCTAAAAACCATGGATTGCATATTCATTGGTGTATAGCAAGAATAGTAGTGCATATAGATTTCTTCGTGCACAAGTCTGATATTTAGAATAATACACAAGAAATACCATTATGTGAGTCAAGGAATACGTCCTCCTTCAAGACGTGTTTCCTTGCCGAACGAGTGAGGATGAAAGTTCTGAAAAGGAACTTAAAGATGATCTAGTGTAGTGATCAAAGATGAGAAATAGATGAGCAAGAAAGGAGTAAGAGGCAAGGACTTCTCCAGACTTCTTACTTATAATTTAGAAAGGAGAACCTTGACTTTCATGAAGCTGCGATTTCACTTTGAAAGTCCTTTTAGGAAAGAAGCGAATTAAAAGTGAATTATCATAAACGCTGTACGTCCAAATTTGCTAAAGGTAATGGCAAGACTCATGACCAATGGCACTTTGACCAATTTGAGTCGAGCCATTTAAAATGGAGTTGATGTCTACCCCCAAGCAGTAAGGCCTTGGGGAAGAAGTGGATTTTTAGAAGAAAGATGAAGGCCTAATGGTCAATTGATAAATATAAAACTAAGCTAGTTTATGCAAAGGGATACAAGCAGCGAGCTTGGATTACTTTTGGATACGTATTCAACCTGTGACAAGGATTATATCATAACGCATGGTGTTACCAATAGCAGGTTTACATGTCTTTGTTTTATTTTTTTTTTTTTAGGGGATACATCAAATGGATGTAAAGACAGTTTTCTTAAATGGAGATTTAGATTAAAAAAAATCTACATGGAGCAACCCAAGGGGTTTTCAGCTCCAGGACAAAATAAGAAAGTCTGTGAGCTTGTCAAATCATTGTATGGTTTGAAGCAAGCTCCTAAGCAATGGCATAAGAAATTTGACAATGCTATATTGTCAAATCGGTTTAGAATCAATGAGTGTGACAAGTGTGTATATGTCAAAGACACTAATAGAGGTTATGTCATTTTGTGTCTGTACGTCAATGACATACTCATTGTTGGTAATAATGATGAAATGATTAGAACTACCAAAAGATTGTTAAACTCTAAGTTTGACATGAAAGATATGGGTCTTACAGATGTGATTTTGGGTATTAAGATTACCAGGACATCTGGTGGTATTGTACCTTTTCAGTCTCACTATGTTAAGAAGATACTTGCGAAATTAGGTAAATCAGATACGAGTGTGTCTAGGACACCAGTAGACTTGAGTCTACATTTGACCAAGAATAATGATGAGAGTGTCTGCCAGCTAGAATATTCTCAGGTCATTAGAAGTTTAATGTATCTGATGAACTGTACGAGGCCGGATATAGCCTACTCTGTTAGCAGGCTTAGTAGATACACGAGTAATCCTAATGCTACTCATTGGAAGGGCATTATGTGCGTGTTGGGTTATCTTTGCTACACCTAGGATTATGGGCTGCATTATACCAAATATCCAATAGTACTAGAAGGGTATAGTGATACTAATTGGATATATAATATAAAAGACTCCAAATCCACTAGTGGTGTGTTTATCCTCGGAAGGGCAGCCATCTCTTGGAAATCTTCCAAGCAAATGTGTATATCGAGATCAACAATGGAATCTGAGTTTATTGCTTTGGATAAAGCAACTAAAGAAACTGAATGGTTTCGTCAATTCGTTGAAGATACTCAGCGTTAGCCGAAACCTGTGCCTGCTATCTATATTTATTGTGATAGCCAATCAGCGATTAGTTGAACACAAAGTAATGTGTATAATGGAAAGTCTAGACATATCCGTCGTAGACATAATTCCATACGACAACTACTCTCTAATGGAGTTGTCTCTCTAGACTATGTAAAGTCTAAGGACAACATTGCGGATCCGCTAACCAAAGGTTTAACTCGAGAGTTAGTAGAAACGTTATCAAGGGGAATGGAATTAAGGCCTTTAGTTAATGTTACCGGAACGGAAAACCTAACCTAGCTAACTAGAGATCCCAAGATCTAGATTCAAATGGATAACCTAATTGCGTGTAACAGATGAGTCACTGAAGAGGTAAATCCTCTTGCCCATTCCTTTATATAGTAATACCCTGTGAGGGTGGAAGGATAAGCTAATGCTTTTTATGACCTAAGTGATGTGAGTAATCAATCGTGGTGTAGTGAGATACCTTATGTAGGTCACCTATGTGAGTGCAAAGTGAGGCCGTTCTTTAAGAATTGACAAGGCCAATTCTTTAAAAACACTCACTGAACCAGGCTAGTGTTGCAGGGCCATACCAAACATGCCAGTGAGAACAAGAACAATGGTTGGAGTAACTGCTATGTGAGGTCTATTGTCTTGGTTTAAACAAACGACAGAACAGTTCAAGACATCACGTTCACTAGTCAGCCAGTAAATCCGATAGGCTTTCACCACAAAAGGTTCAAGGCCAACAGCTACCTTTTCTGATGCAGGGTTAGTCTGTGCGCTCTCTCTCCGAGTCTTTGTTATTAAACGTTGCCCATTATTCTTTATTCAGTCAATTTTTATTCATGCGGGGGATTATTGGAAAATATGGTTTTTTGGTTTGAGGATTGAATGAAAAATTGTTTCATTAAGTTGGTCTAATGAATGAGAGATTGAGAATGATGATTGTGCATATAACATGTGGTGTGGATGTGTAAATGAATGGCCTAATGTTGGAAACCATGTGGCACGCATGGCCTAACCATGACAGACACATGGTTTTGGAAGCCATGAGGTACACATGGCCTTGCCATATATCTTGCCAAAGATGCCTATATAAGGGCATGCTCAACATTGTGAAAATGATCACAAAATAAGCTAAGTTCTCTCCTCCTCTTTCCCCATTGTGTATAAAAGGAAACCATCCTCTTTCGTTGAAGTACAAAAATTTTTGCTCTCATATTATAGTCAATCTGCTCATATAATATATTCTTCCTGTGTGTGAAAGAGTGCTACTATTGTTAGTTCGCCGGAGCTAAGCAGAAGGTGTTTCTGCGTTAGTGGGTTCTAAACCATCGTATCCTAGGAGACAGACGCCGACATACCTCAAACACCCACGGTGAGGTGGCAAATCTGTTTTAAGGAGACTGTGGTATCACACAGGTTTTCATTTGTTTTCTTTACTATCTTATTTAAGTATTTGATTTTGTTAAATATTTATGTTCATCAAGTTGCAGTCTCTAGCATGATTTAGATTCATGATTTCTTGTTATGTAATATAAATTTAATTAATTATGAATCTGTTCATTTTATTTAATTTACACAATTTGTACAACACTATTAAATCGCGCAACCTCCAATTCCTTAAGCGCCTTCTGCAAAAACTCCCTCAATTCATCCAAAGTCGGCCCCTTCTTCTCTTCTCCTTCCCCAACTTCTTCCCCCAAACCATTATTCAACCCCAGATTGATTAATTCTTCATTATGGCTTTCAACAAATTCTACATTTCAAGCATTACATCAATGTCAGCTATTGAATCGTTGCCCTGACACCGCAACCTAACTACTCCCCTTGATGTCTTAAAGACATTTACAAAGTTACAAATCAAAGATCCACATGAATTATAACCCCACAGATTGTTATCAAAATCTCTTTTACCAAGTACACTTGAATGGACACTACTGTTAGTGCTAGACACAGTTATTTTCTTCACCTTATTTTTCAGGTATGATTCGAGAGAAGTCTTTGATTGCCAAGAAAATTACAACCAATACATCTAAACCTAAACTTCAAATGTGAATCCAAATGATCTGAAGTACTGTAACCTGTAACTTCACTGCTATGAAACAGGTTTGACTGCCGAAAACTACATGCAATGTCCATATCTCTACAATTTTCTAACTGATTCTATAGTACATTTCACAAACTCTTGCTAGTATCAAATCAAACACCAGCGAAAAAAGCAATTTAAAAGAAAAATGACCTAATCAAATTGAATTGACATCAATTGAATCCAAATTTGCTAGTCGAATCGCATAGTCATGAGACTGAGAACATACAAAGGATTTTTACATCCCCTAATTATCCTTCTTCGTTTTTTAATATATCTATAGTATTCTTCTCTCCCATTCTGTAACTATTCTTAGATTATTTGTAATGGCCTATATATCCATACTACATATTTCAAGCACACTCATGTGAATGTGCACACCTACAAATATATATACATATATATATGGATTATGATCCTCTCCATTTCATAGTTGTAATGGACGATGTCCATTAATTAATAAACTGCATCAAACAATAGCTCTATGAGGTTTCACCACTAACAAAATGAAAGTGAACTATGTCCTGCAACATCATACCATATAATTCTGCTATTTCAATTTCAACACATCTCAATATTCTCAAAATAAAGCATATTTCAACACATCTCAATATTTATTGAAGTTCTTATATTTCCTCCAAAAAAAATATATATCCGTCATTTCTATTGTATTGGTCATGTACAGTTTAGTCGTACATAGAGAAAATATGCTACAATTCATGTCATATCCAGTAGTTCTAAAAACCCAGAAAAGTGCCCAGAATTTGTAATCAAAGACTGGGATTTACACATAGTGTGGCCCCAAAATAACAAGGTCACAACACATCTCAATATTTATTGAAGTTCTTATATTTCCTCCAAAAAAAATATATATTCGTCATTTCTATTGTATTGGTCATGTACAGTTTAGTCGTACATAGAGAAAATATGCTACAATTCATGTCATATCCAGTAGTTCTAAAAACCCAGAAAAGTGCCCAAAATTTGTAATCAAAGACTGGGATTTACTCATAGTGTGACCCCAAAATAACAAGGTCAAAATATACACCAGTGATTACAAAATCTGAGTCAGAAATTCTGGTTTGGTTTGCTAGACTTTTTGTTTCACATGCCAAGATTTGAATTAGGAAACAGGGAAATTGAACAGGGAAGGTACTGTCATGTGTTTGAAACTAGTTACCAATCTTTGAACAGGGGAGGTGGGTTGTCATGTGTTTGACGCTAATGAATTCCAAGGTCATATCTCTTATCAAAGTAGTACGTGATGTTACCAAGATGTCCAACTGGGAAATTGAGCATGCTAGGAAAATCAAGGGACTAAACATCCATACAAAAGCAGAGTGCCCTGAGGCTTCAATGAATGAATCCATGTTGAACAAAGTCATTCGAAAGCTAACCTGGTTACTCGAATCAACCCCCCACACAATACACCCGGCCTGCAAGAAACAGAGCAATATATATATATATATATGTGAATATTAACATCCGAGTCAAAACTTATTCGGTCATTTTGTATGAAAATTCTATAAAGTTACCCGACATGTAATCTAAAGTCATTCCAAAAACAACAATACAATACAAAGTAGAGGAGAGGAGAGACTGAACTTTGATGATTTTCTTAAGTCTTTTGTAAGGATAAGGTCTTCAGATCCTGATCTGATGGCAAAACTTCTGCATCAGTTACAATCACATCGACTGCAAGGCCACACTAATGTTATAAATTCCAAGAAAAAGAAAAAAATAACTTCCTAAAATAAGTATATAAAAAAGTGTAATGCTATACAAGCAGAATTTATGTATTTTTTGAAGGAAAAAAAGTGTTAATGCACTAGATGGGTTTTTTGTGTAAATGAACCATTGGTCGCCCAAGCGTGAATGTGTGGCTCTTAGGGTTGATGGGGCATGGGCTCTCCACGGGCATAGTAATTTTCGAACGAAACAAGGAAACTTCTGACATTAAGTTTCAAAAAGTTTAAAAGCAAACCAAACAAACTCAATGTGCCCATAGCACAACACCTATCAGTGTTTCTTCTTTTAATCTCTTGAAACCAAAACATCGATCAAATCGCTGCATGTAAATAGATAATTACCTACAAGCGTCGCAAACTCCCTTATGTGCCTCAAAATCTGCCTAAACTCTTTTGATGGTATTCCCAAAATGACTTGATATTCATATTCTGATTCATTGATGTCCAAATAATTGTAAGGGTTACCAGGAGTGCGAGGTTTGTCGAACAAAAGAGGCCTCCTTTGATCAGACACTAAAATGCAGTCAAATTTGAAACATAAGCAATTTCAAGAAGATCAATCATTGAATTTAAATCTAAACATTTACCAAAAATAAGCCTGTGGGATATTGCAAAAACCTTTAAAACTCAAAGTAAAACAACATCTTCCTGTTCGTCTTTCTGTAATTGAATTTGCAGTCACAAAAAAAAAATTAAAATTAATTAAAATAAAGATTTTGTGAACTTCTATGGGTTTTCCTAAGCTTTTTGAGAAATCAATCCAATTTAACATAAACAGAAATTTTCATATTTTAACAGATTTCCAAGAACCAATTTGAAACCAACCGTGAACCATCACATAATTAAACATAAATATGGCTTCACATGTGTGCGTATATATGTATATAATAAACACATCACATTATGGTTATGAAATGAAACAAGAAAATGGACTATAAATCTTATCCAATGGTAAGGGGATTTTCAAGAATGAATTCGAGTACACATAAGCAACAATGTGTCTATACACACATCTATACATATCTATTCTATTATATAAAGCAAGCATACACCTTATTTCCTATAAATATTGTCACAATTTTTTTTCACTTTTTTTTTCCTCGAAGAATACCTTCTACATTGAAATAAGTGCTAAACAACTTTTCTTTTTTGATTGGCACCGGGTGTCCTAATCAAAGCCCGACTAATCCCCAGAGATGCACAACCCTCAGCAAGGAGTTTTCCACAAGTGCATGGTTAATTCAAGGGTTTTCCCCATCCGATAACCCCAAGGAATTGTTAGCACCTAAGAAGTTTCAATCTCTAAATCTTGGAGGGAGCACACCCCCGAGACCCAATACCTTGTCACCAGGGCAACCCTTGGGGTTTAAGTGCTAAACAATTTTTCTCATTCATAAAACTATCCAAAATTGTTGACTTGTATTTTTTTTTCCCCCAATCTTCAAACCACCAAAAAAATTTTAAAACACAAAATTACAAACGCATTGTATTTGCACCAACTACATATATATGTATGCACATGAAGTCAGAATTCTTGAAGGAGAAACTGAGTATTATAACTGGTATTCAAGAATCGATTCGTAAAAAATAAGTAATTCAAGAATCAATTAATAAAAAATACGTAATTGAACATAACACATGAAAATCGAACGCATCACACATGAGTCACATGAATTAGGGTTTTGGGACGAAGAACATAGCAGAGCGTACCGAACTGAGCGTTGTGATGAGTATTGTTGAAGAAGTTGAAATAGATGAGAGTTGTGTCATGAGAATAATTGGCTGAGACAATGAGGGATTCTAGATCATTGGTTGTATAGAGTAGAGAGCTGAGAAAAGAGAGATCGAGCGTTTCAATGCAGTTGTAATTGCAGCAAAATCTATGGAAACTTGAAGAATTGATCTTGTTTGGGAAAATAATTCTTTTAATTTTTTTTTATCACATCAATTAATATCTCCTCTCTATTTTTTTACACAACATTTTATAAAAAATCAAAAAAATTTCGAACATCCCAAACAATTGCCATAAACATTCCAGAAACCGATGGAGGTGAAACACTAACATCTACCAGAAACCGATGGAGGCGCCACAAACTTGAAGAATCTATGGCTCTCATTGATATCTGCAAGAGCGGCGACACCGCTTTCTTCAGTAGGGTAGCTTGAATTAGGTGGAACACTAACATCTTCACAGAGAGAGAGAGAGGGGGAGAGAGAGAGAGAGAGTGTAGTTTGGGAAATTTGGCGCGGAAATGAAGCGGTGTTCGGCATTTTAAGCGAGTTATAGTTAGAACTTGTCTGCCATGCCAAATTTTGGGATTAAAAGATTATTTTAATCCTAAATAAATGAAATAAGTTAAAAAAAAAGTATAAAAGTTATATTTAAATTATAATTATTTGATTTTTTCTCTCATATAAGTTAGAAAAGTCAAAAAAATTATCACAAATAAAACTTTTTAACTCTAAATTAAAATAGTTAAAAAATCAACTCACATCCTGAACCAACCCTTCAAACACGGTTGGTTTCTATGAAAAGAGTTTATATTAAAGGCTTTGTTTGGATTTTTTTTTTAATTAAAATATATATTTTTGATTAAAAAAGCTAACAATTAAAAAATATATTATAAATTATAAATACATTTTTTGAAGTTTGCATAAAATATAAATTGTCTTTTATAATTTAAAAAATTATAAATATTCTTTTGTCAGAATTTTTTATTTAATAGCAATAAAAAAAATAAAATTTACAACTGCTCTCATATACAATAATAAAATTATATGAATTATTAATTAAAATAAATTTCTGACATCATTTGATTTGATGATTTATTAATAAAATTATAAATTTCAAAGAACGATATGTAATTTTCAAAATCACAAAAAACAATATGTATTTTAAATAAACGTCAGAGGTGTACTTATAATTTATCCAAAAATTAAACTAAAAGACCCACACAACTTTTCCAACAACAAAAATATATATATACTATTTTTTTAACATTTATCCAACATATCATCAGTTTTTTTAGCAAACAAATTTATCTTAAAAACTAAAGAGTAACAAAAATAATGATAAAAATATAATTACCAAATCAACCCTGGTTTGTTTCAATTGAAAATATTTTTTAAAAATTTTTTTCACAAATTTTATTTATTTATTATTGTTATTATTATTATTTTGTATTTGTTTGCATTGCTAAAACTAATTTGACAATAGCTGTGCTAGTAGTGTGTGGTGACAGTGGTGATACAAGTATAGGCTGTCAGGTTCTTTGTGTTGGCAATTTCGCAAACAAACACGTTTGGGCTGTATTGCTGAGCCCTGTTTTGTTCTTAAACTACTAGAGCGGTTTATTATTGTTAATTGTTTTTTTAGACAAGGTCGGCCTAGAGTATTTTCAATATTTTCTAATTGAACCAACCTTGTCTCCCCTTGTTTTAGAATGGCAAATTAGGGCTAGTTCTAAATGATAGATTGAGGAGATGTTTGGGAATTAAATATAAAAAATCACTACAAGTTAAATTATTCTTTTTATTTTTTTCATGTATTTTCACAAGAAAATAAAAAATATATATATTAAAAAAGTCAATTCTCAAACAAGTCCTTAATTATTTATAAATTCTCTATTATTTTTGAATCCATCAACAAATTCTAAAATACTTTGTCTCAATATTTTTTTGCAAATATTAATAATGAAAAAAAAAAAAGACTAATAAGTAATAAGTTTGATCAATAGAATGGGTCATTTTCCTAAATAAGCCAAATTATCAATTCAATTCTCAAACTAGGCCTAGTTTTGAAAGATTTCCCAAAATTGGCTAAAACGTGGTTCAGAACCATGCTTTCACGTCTGTGCCCTTGTCCCGCGTGAGAATTGGGAAGTCTTAAAAGCGTGGTTACAAAAAACGCTTTTAATTAAGAAAGCGCGGTTACAAAAGGCGCTTTTAATTAAATTTTTTTTCTTTTGAAATCGCTATTCTGAACCACACTTTTAACTTACATTTTTTTTGTTCTGAAAGCGCGGTTGTGAACCACGCTTTTTACCAAAAAAAATTTCTTCCGAAATCGTGGTTACGAACCACGCTTTTAGTTTCAATTTTTTTTCTTCTGAAAGCGTGTTTGTGAACCACGCTTTTTATACATTTTTTTTCTTTAAGTGAAAGCGTGGTTTGTAACCACGCTTTTAAAACTTATATAAAATCTCCCCAGCCCCGTCTTTTGCAATCACGCTTGTTACACCTTTCACTCTCGCTACCTGCTCTCTCTCTCTCGCTCCCTGCTCTCTCTCTCTCTCGCTCTTACTACTCTTTCTCTCTCTCGCTCGTACTACTCTCTCTCGCTCTTACTGCTCTCTCTCTGTCGCTGTGCTCGAGCTCCCTCTGCTTCAGTACTGTCGCTCTCTGTGCTCTCTCTCGTTGGTATGGCTTCTGTCTCTCTCTGTTGATCTACTTTAATGCATTTTTTGTGTTTGTGAAAATGTGAATGTGGGTATAATGTTAGTAGAATAGGGTTCATGAATATGGGTATAATGTTAGTAGAATAGGGTTCATGAATGTGGGTATAATGTTGGTAGAATAGGGTTCATGAATATGAAAATGTTGTGAAATCAGAAATTACGATTACGGTTTGAGAAATTAGGGTTTTGAATTGTGGAATCTGTTTAAAAATTTGTGAAATCTGTTTAGAAATGTGAAATCTGTTTATAATTGTGAAATCTGTTGAATGTGAAATCAGATTTCTATTTAATGTGAAATCAGATTTCTGTTGAATGTAAAATCTGTTGAATGTTGAATCTGTTTAGAAAAATTTAAATATTATGTTTGAAATGAGAAAATGAGGGTTATGGTTTTCTATTGAATGTGAAATCAGAAATTAGGGTTTTGGTTTTGAATTGGGGTTTTGAATTGATGAATGTGAAATCATTTTTCAATTAGGGTTAGGGTTTTAAATTGTGAAATCAGAAATGAGGGTTATGGTTTCAGAAATTAGGGTTTAAGAAATTTATGATAAGTTAAATTTTTTTAATAATGTTATATGATTTTTTTTAGGAACAAATAATTATCTATAATAATAATAATTTTCTTGTATATTATTATCGTAACTAACTTTATAATTTCTTGGAAAAAAACATGGCAAAACACAAGAAAATCTAATTTTGTCTATATAAAAATTATCTATAATTAAAATTTCAAAATTTTCTATCCCTTTCTTTCAAAATTTCCAATATTTTTTTTTTCTTTCACTTTCACTTTCCACAAATTTTTCTTTTTAATCAAACCATATTTAAGGAATAATCATGCCATTCCCTTTTATTTTCATTCCAATAAATTAAGCATAGCGTAACAATATTTACGATATATTAAAAAAAATAAAAATAGAATCATATAATATATATCAGTGTCATACAAAATTGAATTACAAGGAACTATGTTTAAAGTTGTCATGGTTAGTCTAGTACTAATTATCCCGAGTCCATAGATCCAACTGATCATTATATCATTTTTTTCTTTCTCTATTATGGAAAGTATAAGGGGATGTTTGGCATAAAAGAAAAGCAAGTTCAGCCAAAAGAAAATGAGGAGAAAATTTAAGGGAAAGGGGGAGAAAATTTTCAGTTGTGAGAGGGTGGCCGTGTCCTTCGCCGCGAATAGTCTGAGTGAAACTCAAGATGGTCGTCGACGACGTTCTTCTGATTGTGAATTACAAATATTTTTTATAGGGTTTTCAATTATGAAATCAGAAATTAGGGTTATGGTTTTAGGAATTTGGGTTTTGAATTGTGAATCCTGTATATATGTATTACATTGTGAACTGTGAATCCTATCTATTTTTTTACAAATTAGGTTTTTGAATTTTGAATTGTGAATCCTGTCTATATTTTTTGAATTGAAAATTTAATTTCCGATTGCTTCTTAGTCCTGTCGATATGGTTAAATCTTGTTATTCTTTCGCTTATCTCTTCAGCTTCATCGTTAGGCCACTATAACTAGTACAAACAATTTTTTGGGTTGTTTTAGGAAATAAGTTAAAAGCTAATTTTTTGTATTTTTTAAATTTTTTTTTGGAAAAAATACTGAAAATGCCTTTTTACCTCTTTGCCAAAAAATTATCAAAACATTAGAAGTCAAAAAAATTGATATAAACATTAAAGGTAAAAAAATTTGATCCACAAAAAATTTGATATAAACATTAGAGGTGATCCACAAAAAATTAGAAGTCAAAAAATGACTTTTTACCACTTTGCCAAAAGAGGCCTTTGAAGTCGTCTTGGAAAATGCTATTATCAAAACATTTGATATAAATAAAAAAAAATTGTTTAAAAATTATGTTTGAAAAAATTAAAATATTTGATTTATAAAATGACTCATTCTCGATAATTTTTACCCAATTGACTTATTCTCTATGCGCCTGCACTATGTTTATTCAATTAAGTTTTAACTTTTTATGATAGTCGGATGTCTGAATCAGTTTACTTATTTATAGACTAATCTTACAATCCACACCAAACGTCCCTTCCACATAGATCCGACAAATCTCAATTAATACCTATAAACATGACACATACTGAGAGTTCAACTTAAGACTTGAAATGAGCATACCTAATTTTTAACACATAATGAGAGCTCATTAATATTAATGAAACTCAAGTTTGACTCGGTTCAGGTCGATAATTTTTTTGTTATGTTATTTATATTGCTTAAAATTATGAGAGCTCATTAATTTTTTATTTAGGTTATTTCTTACTTTATTTCCCTAAGTTATTTCCTACGTTATTTCGTATGGGGTTATTTCCCTAAGGGAATAATCTCATAGGAAATAACCTACCAAATAACTTTGTCATTAAGGTCCCTAATGGCAGAAGCTTGAGCAAATAAAAGTAACTTCTCTTTAATTGTCCTTAAATCTCACTAATTGGATCACCAATTTTAAAAAATTACGTGAACAATGTTTGAAATAAAAATTAAGAGCAAGTCATACAAAATCAGTCGGGTTGTTTCAACTCAATGAAAAAAATAATAATTTCATAGAAAAAGTTACACTATGATTTAAGATTTTTGTATGACTTGTCCAATTTTCTCCAATCGCACTGAATAAATACAATACTTGATGCAAATTATACTATAAAATTATATGAAAAGAAAAATAAAAGAAGAATCTTCATAATGTCTTCACATTCAAAATTATTGATATATCTGTCTAGTTTATCGAAATACTAAAAAAATAGATCAAGATTTATC